AGAGAGTTGTTTTCATTACTCCTTCATCGTTCGTGAGCAGCAAAATCTCTCACCGGGTCGTTACGCTCGCAAGGTTGAATCTAGCGAGGAGCTTTATTGCCGGAATAATGCTTCCAATGAGTTTAGCTTGCTTCAATACTCTCCATTGTATGATATTAGCCGAACTTCCTGGATCCACTAGAACACGCTTAATCTTAAAATCTAACACATTTAAATAAATTACCAGTGCGTCGTTGTGTGGTAAAAACAATCCGTCTGTGTCCTCCTCTGTGAAAGTGATATCGTCTTCTCGGAGTCTTTTACTATGAGTTATCGATACTTTCATGTTTTTTTGCTGCCGAAAAGGTGACCCCGTTAATCTCATTCCCTTCGAAGATCATATTGATCATTTGGCGTGGGGGTTCTTCCCCTGCTTTTGAAGGTTCCGCGTTATCTCTGCTATGACCATAATTGTTCTTAGTTCGGTCACTCACGAATTCTGTGAGGTGACCATTCTTCAATAGTGTTGCCACCTCCTCCCGTAGGTGTCAGCAGTCCCCTGTTCGGTGGCCGTTCATCCCATGGTATTCACACCATAAGTTGGGATCCCTCTGGTTGGAATAGGATCTCATAGGTCTCGGGAATTGTGCTTCTTTAATGTTTCTCATGGCTGACACCAACTCCACTATACTGATATTAAAGTTATATTCTGATAACTTGGGGTAAGAAGGATCCCGAGACCCCGACGTCTCTTTATCCTGGAGTGATCTATTGTTTTGACCATGATCGGTCCCTCAGTCAACGATGAACTCGTTTGATGCCCGAAAGTGTTTGCCACGGCCTTTGGTCTGCTCGTAGGGAAAAATCATCCCCTCGAAGTTTGTCTGTCCGTGTCGTAGTCATCCTTTGATTTTTCTCTGCTCTTCTCCCGTCCTTTGGTCGATGATGTGGAATCGACCTGGTCATCTTCGATCCTTATCTTTGACTCGTACCGGTTGTGGACATCTGCCCAAGTTGTTGCTTGAAACTCAAGTAAGCTCTTCTTCAGCTTCCGGGACGTGTCTGAGCTTCTCGGATTCAATCCTTTGGTGAATGCTTCAGCTTCCCATTCGTCCGGGACAGCCAGGAGCAACATTCTTTTTTTCTGAAATCGGGTAATGAACTCTCGTAGTAATTCGGATTCTCCCTGTGCGATCCTGAATATGTCTGCCTTTCGGGATTGTACTTTTCTGGCACCGGCGTGAGCCTTGATAAAAGAATCCGTGAGCATCTCAAAGTAATCTATGAAATGTTCGGGTAACAATGAATACCACGTTAGGGCTCCCCTCGTGAGAGTTTCTCCAAATTTCTTTAGCAGCACAGATTCAATTTCGTGAGGAGCTAGATCATTTTCTTTTGCCGTTGTTGTGTATGTGGTAATATGCTCATGTGGTCTGAAGTCCCGTCATACTTTGGCATTTCAGGCATTTTGAACCGCTTCGAGATTAGTTCTGGTGCCGCGCTCGGCTTGTACGGCAATTAAGTATACTTCTTCGAGTTTTGGCCTTTCAATATTGGTGGCGCGCCTGGGATTTGGTCTATGCGGGCGTTTACTTCCCTCATAAACAGTAAAAGTTCATTCTTGAATGGGTCGTTCTCGTTGTTGAGACCAGATCTGCTCCCCCAGCCACGTCGAAGCCAACTTCACCCCTAGGAGTGTTGTTGTCGACTCTCTGCGTTGTTTGGTTTGTGGGAACACCAGGAGGAATCAGATCTTGTCTGTTTGCATTATTCGAATCCCCCGATAGTGCCTACTTCAGTTCTATCATAACCTGATTTTTTCGCGTGAGATGGCCTAGAATGATTGCTTGTTGCTCTCGCAGGACCCTCACCGCATCCACGACATGCTCCTCATCAGCATCATCAGGAGTTGTCTCTCGAACCTGTCGAGGGTTCTGCCTGTCATGCACCGACGTGGCGTCATTTCCCTCATTGCGGGTGTCGCTGATTGAATTCTCGAAATGAGGCTGATCCCCTCGAATTTCAGGGTTGTGCGTGTTGTTAGCAGTATTATCTATAATTTTTAATGATTTTTTCTTAAGACAAAATAATCAAATCGCGTTAGTAAAAAATGCAAGGATCAATTTAATTGCATGGCTTTCTAGGTCCCATGGTGGGCGCCAAACTGTTTGCCCATAAAACGACACAACTGAATTTATATGTGGTTTCTAGACAAGTGAACTAATTTGATCCTGAAATAATGCAATAATTGAATAAATGTATAATACTTAGCCTTGAAATATAGATGAAACAGCGTAAACGGCAGTTCTAGGAACGAAATTTTCGGGCACAGTAATGATAAGATCAAAAAGCAAGAAAGTAAGATTGTATTAAGCTTTTTATAGAATGTAATATGAGTTTAGCCAGAAAATCGTGTGTCCCTTACAATGATAACTGAGCTCACTATTTATAGCTATGTCTAGGGAAGGAGGTTCTAGGATCGTGTCCTCATTTAATATCAATTATGAGGGTCATTGACAAACGATATAACGGTGAACATAAATACCAAATTCTCTGTAACGGACCGTCACTCTTAATGCTGCAGAATATTCCCTATTAAATGCTACCGGGCGAAGAGCATTTAACACACCTTTATGAATGTTGTCCTTTCCGGTGACAAGCGGAATGACTGCGTTCGGTCTTCGGCCATCCCCGTCTTGGGTTCCACGTGTTCTCCTTTTAGATGACCACATGTCATATCATATTTCACTCTATACAAAACTTTAGACCTTCAAGAAGAAAAAGAAGAAGGAGTGGTCTGAAATTTGCCAAAACTGGCTAAAATTATAATAATTTCTAAAAATTAGATATGTTTCAAATATGATGCTAAAATAGGCTACATAGTGTTAGAAATTGTGTTCCCGTGCCACTTTTCGGCCCCCGTCTTTGAAAAATAATAAGCTAGCGTTTGGCCATAGATTCCCAAATTTATTCTGAAAAATCTGATTTGGGTGAAGTTTGGTTTGAAGATGAAAATGTGTTTGGACATCTGTTTTGGGTGAAGTTTGGTTTAGAAAAACATGAAACATGACTTATACACACAAGTTCTAAAAGCTATCACAAATACCCAACAATACCATTATCGATAACATTCATTATATTATCGCAAACCATAGTCGTGAACATAAATAAATTTGATACAAAATTATCATTTTTATAATGAACTACATGATACACTATCAGATGACCGAGAAGACGAAGCAACATCGTTACAAAATAATAAATAGTGGACTCTTTTATAAAATACAAAAGTTTGGGACAATTTTTTAAAAATATAATAGTGATATTTTGGCCCAAAATCAGCTATTGAGCTGGTTTTGGGATTTGGGACTTGGGATTTGGCCAAAATGTAGGCAAAATTTATGGCAAAATATGTGCTTGCCAAATAAAACCCAAATTTATTTTGGCAAAATCTATGGCCAAACGGGTCCTAAATGTTCTGCAGAACTATCCGTTATGTAGTCTATAAGTAAGTTAGTATAAAAATTAGTCAATTCATAAAGTATCATCAATATTAGCCAATTAGCTATTTGTAACCAGAAAATCAAAATTTTATTTTCTTTTGAGTGGGTGTTGTTGGAATAGATTAGATACATCTTAATGAGTTTGAATCTCAGTTTTGGGATGATTTAGTAGAGTTTTGAGGTGGTTTGAATTAAAAATTCGAAGTAGAAAATGAACATGAAAAAAATTACACGTGTATCATTTATGTACCACATATTTATCATATTTGTATCAAATATGTATCACATGTATATCCATGTATATCTGTGTGTGAGATACAAGCGTGATACATGTGTTGCAGAATAATTTCTTGAAATCAATTTTAACTACGAATTTTAAAAACAAATCAGTCTAAAGCATCTCTAATTTTTCTCAAATTTTATAAATTGACTCGTCTATATATTTTTAATGAATTTAAACCATACCCATTGAAAAATGTTCTTTTTTGCTTAGGTTTTTGGAATTATATATATATATATAAAAAATTTCTTTTTCGTCTTGCATCTAATGTTGCTGATCACGCTTAAAAATATGGAAGGAGATCTTTGTGTGTGATTCTTGGAGAGAAAGAAATTATTTAGATTTTTAAATTTTGTATGTGATTGGCTAGTTTTAGTAAATCTATGATTAATGGCTAGAAGTTGGCAAATTAAGATTTATTTTGGACATTCCCGTAAGATTGCCTTTTAAATTCCACAAAAAAGATTCCATAACAACTTGTAAAACTTAAAACTTTAAGAAAATGGCTATTTGTGAATTTTACACTTACCTATTGCCATTTCTACCATAGATCCATACATAACTTAATGCGGGTATACTATCAAACCAAATTTCTTGTATGGTTGTACTTATGCAATAGTTTATTTTTTCTTATATGGCCAAAATACACAGGTGAAATTAAAAAATAGCCAGATTTATAAGTGATAATTGAAAAATAGCCACAATCGAAATTTAGCCACTTTTCATATAAAGATAAATCTGAATGGAAACACTGTTCAAAATCCGGAAAATATTCCAGCATAATATATTGGAGTTCAAATTTTTTACATGTGAACTTCGAGCATAATATACTAGAGTTCTAGTAGATTATGCTGGAACTCTAGTATTCTAGTATAAATATGCTGGAACTCCATCATAATATACTAGAGTTCCAGCATAATATGCTGGAAATTCATACACATGTGATCCAATCTCTAGTATATTATGCTGGAACTTTTCGTGTGTTGGAGTTCCAACATAATATGCTGGAAGTTCATACACAGGTGTACCAATCTCCAATATATTATGCTGTAACTTTCTGTTTTGCAGCAAAATATTGGCTATTTTTCAATTACTTTGCAAACGTTAACTATTTTTCAATTACTGGTTCGAAAACTGGCTAGACCGTGCTAATTTTCCAAAATACACTATATTATGATATAAGGAAATTTTATGGAGAGATATATAATTCCAATATGATTAACCAAACGACCCAACATTTTCATGTTTAGAATAATTAATTTATTCATTTTTAATGAAGGGATCACAAGGTCGATGGAAATGTCTCATTGTGGAAAGTTATGAACGATGACAAGGAAGCCACTTTTTCAGAGCGTAATTGCTCTACTGAATTTCAGAGTCCACAACAAATGGATTGGGTACATACCAATTTTCAATCTCCTCTTCCTTTATTATGCTTCTGTAATACTAAGTAAATTTTGAACCTTTCACAACTTGGTACTGTTTTAATCAGCTCAGAATTCAAGATTCTTTAAAGAGACAATTGATCACTGAAGATGACTTCAAATGGAGATTACCCCCCAAAATAAATGAAAGAGAAAAAGAAGGAAGTAATTGTGAAATACTACTGAAGTATGTTGGTGGGGTTGACTTAAGCTTCTCAAAAGAAGACTCATCGATTGCCTGTGGTGCACTTGTTGTTTTGGACTTTCAGACCCTCAAAGTTGTTTATGAAGATTCTTCTATTGTTAGACTTCACATTCCATATCTTCCTGGCTTCCTTGCCTTCAGAGAGGTCTCCTACATGTATCTTTAGTCAATATATAACATAGTCCTAATTTGTTTGACACTTTTTTTTCTGTTCATCAAGAAAGTAGCACATTTCTATATTTCGAAACTAGATAATTTTACATTCTCATTTTGCCATTGGTATGACTTGCTGTAGGTTCTACCGGATGTAAAAATAATCGTTTGGTACAAGGGTACTTTTGATATTTTATCCATTTTTAGCTTAAGTGTAAAGTTCCATATTTTTCATTAAACTCGTGTCTAGTCAAACAATTCCAGACAAATTGGCACAGAGGGAGGGAGTGTGTCTTATTGATTGTTTATTTCTGCAGTGAGTTTCCATTTTAACATATCAGTTTGCTAAAACTTTGGAACATATAAGCCCCCAGTTTGGTCTAGTTGTAAGAGCGTAACAAGTGATGTGTGCATTAGGCACAAGTCACAATTCAAACCCTGCCGCAGACAAAACCCTGGTACTTAATCCATTGAGTTTCAAACCGTGCGCCTCTGACCTTGGAGATTTCTTGATTATCAAAAAAGAAAATAAAAAAAATTGAAACATATAGTGGTGATCTTCACTGAAATTGTTAAAAAGAACATGATTAGATTTGGTAGGATGTTGTTTTTATGTTTGTTGTGAGAGACTAATCTTGGAATCTTACTTATATTAATTATACAAACTCAACATTCTTGTGAGTAATGTGAACTGACCTGATACATTTGTCCAACTGATTCTTTTAGGCTCCTGTACTCCTGGAGCTTTTGGATAAAATGAAGAAAAATGCTCATCCTTTCTACCCGCAGGTGAATGTTGATAAATTTCCTCCACTCTTCCCCTCTCCTTGCTTATTTCTCGTTCCATAAATGGTGCAAATTTTGTTCTAAAGTCAATATACTGACTCAAATCAGCTAAATGTTATGATACAAGTGTTGTTTTTCACATTAAACTTACTCTAAGTTTGTTATCTACCAAGTAAAAGATATATTGAAGCTATAATTCTCTTCAAGAAATGCATTGAATTGGATTTGGCTGGTTAAACCAAATCTTGCACCTTCCTTGTACCGTTAGTACTCTACTCCACACCCAAGCTGCTCCTGATTATAGGCAGGAATCCCAACATCAACCTCTACCTCAAAATAGTGACCTGCCTACTTCAATCCTACCTTTTATAATTTACTCAAGAGTAAAAAGGAGAGGGGGTATAAGCTAAGAGATATTACCTGCTACTGCCTAATCACTAGTCAGTAGTTGTAGAAGATTTTGTTCCTAACCTGTTGGAACCGCCGAGTTCTACAAACGAAAGACTCATGGTTCCTATTTAAATCAACTAATGGGCAGCATAAGATGACTAAAAACATCTATGCAAGTAGTAGTTTCATTAATTACTTAAGGGGCAATTTTGTCATGTGAGTTAGACTTCCAATGAATATGCATCCAGGAAAGCGTTTATGCTACAAAATGTGTTGCCTACTGGTAATTCTAATTCTATTTCCTCTCTTCCTTCTCTTTTGTACATAGTCCCCTCGTAGGTTCAATATACATTATTGAGTTGGATAGGGATTCTTCCCCTACCATGTGCACTGATGAAGCTAGAATCTTATGCCTTTTCCTGCATCTGAAATTCTGAATTTTAAGAAAGTTGATAGAAACTTGTTACCCGAGAAATTTGAAAAGAATGAAATAAATCTAAAAGAAATAAATTTTTCGTTGTATGCATGGAAAAGAGGCCTAAAGTTAGAAGAAAGTTACTAGTTTGGATTTCCCTCAAATCCTTCAGCCTCTTTGGAACCAAAATTGTAAGAAAGTTTTCTTACAGCATAAACGAGTTCTCAGTTTCTTGCTAACTAAACAAAAGGAAAGTGCAGGAAAGTTTACTTCTTATCCCAAAAAATAAAATGCAGGAGAGTTTACTTTTCCCCCCGCTTTTCCTTTATTTTCTTGTCAGTCAAGTTCACTCTTGGTGATTGATATAATTGCTATGCGTTGATTTTCACTGTTCTTGGCTAATAATTCATTCATGCCGTGAATTAAGAATCATGTGGTTATCTTTTAGTCATCTTTCATTAAATTTGATTAGTTAGAGGATTATTGAATATTTCATGCTTCCCCTTCCACCTTCAGGATTCAAATGGTAAACCTTTTGAAAGTAGTGGTGAGATCTAGGATGTATTGGTACCACAGCTTCCTGACCCCTTCCTCCCCCACCGCTGGCGTTTGTTCTATTGATCTGGCTACTATAAAAGTTAATACCTGAGATCTATTTAATGCTTATGTTCACAGCTACTGATGGTTGATGGCAATGGATTGCTTCATCCTCGAGGCAAGTTTCGTTGTTATTTCAAGCTGGAAAAAAGAGAATTCCTAAGTGTTGCAGATTGTTTATGATGATTCGTCATTAGAAGATACCATGCTTGCTCCATTTTTTCGTGTATAAGATGCTCAGAAACATTAAAAATATCGTCCTTTATCATGATCACATCTAGCATCATATTCTTCATCTTTGCATTTTATAGCCAAACTTGTGTCAATTTTCCAACAATTACTAACTTTTATTCCTAAAACCCACTTTAAGAAAAATGTATAACTAATTGGACTTGCTTAGGTAATTCGATACACATGGAGTTTTCCATCTCTCTGTACCTCTTTGGCTATCTTGTAGGCTCTTTACACATATTGGCTAGTTGGTTCTCAGTTAATAAATCAGGGAATAATTATTCTCTTTGGATATTTCTCTACTTTAGATCTCGGTTTTTGTATATGTCCGGCTAATGCATTCTTCAAACAAAAGAGACTAGAAATTAATTTGCTCTCCGCTTAATTTAATACTATGACTGTTTTGATCATTCTTTAAGGCTTTCACTCACATGTAGAGATCAATACACTAAACCTGTGGCATTAAGTTGACTCTGCGGTATTCGTATTATCAATAGGAGATGATTAATGATAATCATAATCTTCTTGATCCTGATGATGATTTGACTGGATAGAAGAAGGCAACCATATGCTGGTGCTAAGAGTACCTTTTTTTAGGTAAATTAAACTGAGTAAAGGACGAGATGCATTTTCCAGATAATAATTTGAATTATAGTTCATAGTGGTGTTTCAGGCAAGTTGCGGTCTTATGAAAGAAGGATGCAATAGAAACTAAGTGATGCTTGCCCATCTTTTATACATGTAATAGATTAGAGATGCACAAGATCAACTATAACTTGATCAAGAAAGTCATTCAAGCGTCCAAACAAGATGGTATAACTGTATAAGTACTCTCATGTTTCAAAAAGGAATTTAAGTAGTTTCCCGGCATTCTCAATCTAGTTGACAAGGTCTGAACTGTTTGAACCCTATTCCTGCCATGGCTTTGTAAAGATATTTCAGCTTTAGTTATCCTCTTGCGTGATATAATTTTAAATTCAGCTCTTGTTCGATGCTGTTTTGCTTTTAAACAGCTGTTAATGAAATTTAATAAGAGAACTAGTGAGTTTGACTTTACTGATTAGTTCATTTGTGATTGGCTTTTGTATCACTGACTGTTCAACTTGGAAGATTCGGCATATTTGAGTTCATATGTAAATGAATCAACTGGTGACTGAGTATGCAGATAGGGATCCTCCTGTTTTCATTGTTCCAACAGTACCTTTTTACACTTATTGTTGCTAAAGCCTCCGCTACCCAATTATGTTCTGCAGGTTTTGGTTTGGCTTGTCATATTGGTGTCTTAGCTGATCTTCCTACTGTTGGAGTGGGAAAGAATGTAAGTTCAAACTTCTTTGTCCACTTGAAGTTTCATGGAAAATCTGCATAGATTCAGTCCACATGTGCTTTTGTTAGTTCCCTCTTCTTGCCCTGGGATTCAGAAATAATCAACTGACATTTACTCTATGTGGAATACTTAACTGGCAAATATCCGTTGACTCGTTTATATGATTTTCACTTCTTATTAATACTTAAACTTAGCTCAAAGCTAATACATTAATTTTCTTATAAATAGTTGCAACATCTGTGCAGTGGTTTGTAAATATTTTCTATTCTTCTTTTGTTTTTCCAGTTGCACCATGTGGATGGTCTTACACAATCTAGGGTAAGAGAAATCCGTCAAGCGGCGGACTCTCCTGAAAATGTCTTACCCCTAATTGGGGACTCTGGATGTACCTGGGGAGCGGTAAGGAGTTAGTTAATTATTTTGTGTCCATGAAATAATACAATTATGGTGTAAAATGTCATGTTCAATTATTTCCTACTGAATGCTTCCATGAATCGCTCTTCAGAAAAGGTGTGGATTTTGGAGGCCTTTTGTTTTCTAACTAGCAACTACACATAATACTTAATGGTTCCAGTATGTTGTATTTGGTTTTGTGGTTGATATTCTGTGGCATATTAAGTTATTATGATATGCTGGTCTCACGGGACACGTAAATTACTCTTTCAACTACTAGTTCCAGAAATCACAAGATCCAACTTTTAGTTGAGTCAACTACTTGTGAGCTTTTACCGTAGTATCTATCTATTTCATCACAAGGTCCAAATTATATAGGTGCAAGTTGATTAAATCTTTATGCAGGCAATTCAATCATCTCAGGGCTCATTGAAGCCCATATTCATTTCAGTTGGTCACCGTGTATCTCTTGCCACTGCCATTGAAACTGTGAAGATGACCTGCAGATTTCGTGTTCCAGAGCCCATCCGACAGGTAGGTCCAAGAAGTTTGACATGCACTATTGTCAGCATTGTTCCATCTATTGGTAGTGAAGGAGTTTATAGGACTCAACATTATTTCTTCTAGATGTGCTAATTGGTTTGTGAATTTACATATTTTATAACTCAAACTTTTACTTCTGACGTGTAGGCTGATATAAGATCAAGGGAGCGCCTCAGGAACCATCAGTAATTATGTCCATACTTATTTCTCTATCAATTTGGTAGGTTTTCATATGATTAGAGGGTTGATAGTATCATACCATATTTAAATAGGACGCCAAAAGGTTATTAGAGGTTGAGTTCAAGAGTTGTTGAAGTAAATCCAATTTTCCCCTTTGTTGTGTTACAGTAGGAGATTTCTGTTATTTTACGTGGACTTGTTTTATGTGTACAACAATAGGGTGATTGTAAGTATCTGGTACATGTAGTTCTTGTTTTTGATAGTTTATATGTTGCCTTTGTTGCATAAACAGTAGATGATGAACATTTCAAAAAATATAACTTTGGATGTTCTTAAAATATGATAATCACTATGATATTGATGGTTTAAACTTATAAAAGTGTTAAGAAAAAAATAGTACACTAAAAGATAATACTTTAAATAATGTACTCAATCAAATATTAAGAGTTGATTCCCTTCATTATGTTTGTATTACTTATAATGCTTTATGGCGAAATACATAAAGCGCCCCTTTAAGTTGTTCCCAACGATCATTTGAACACCTCAACTGAGACCTTTTTCATTTAAACGTTTCACGTGACTAAAATGTGAACTCAATAAACGTCCGACCTCGTCAACCCCCGTCACATGTGTTACACCCCCGGTGTATATTATAAGAACGAATAAGAAGCCGACACGTGGATAAACAATATGAAATAAACAATTAAAAGGCTTCTAATTAAAAAATTTAAAACATAAGGTTAAATAACATCGAACATTCCGTCTAACAGCTGAACTCTCTCTCTCTCTCTCTCTCTCTCACCGAATGCCACCCATCTTCATCTCTTCGATTAAGCTTGGTTTAATCTGCATTTCCGTTGCAAAATTCAACATTTCTTTCACATACTAAGTAAGGTTAATTGTGGTTTGTTCGAATTGATTATTGGATCAAGATTTATCACATGAAAGAAGGTCGTCCTAGGGTTTTGACAGTGGAGTTTTTGTGAAAAGATGAGTCGGCTGTAAAATGGCTTTGATTATTGCATAAAGGTATGTTATTTTTATGCTTAGATTTATTGCTATGTATCTGTTATGGTGCTATTAGATTAGGATTTTTTTTCTTCTAGAAAATTGAAAAGGTTAGGGAATATTGACTGGTTTTCTTTTGTCATTTTCAGTACCGAGTCACATGGACGAATATATTGGTGTTGTCTTTCATCATGGGCGTCACTTTATTGATGGAAAGTATGTGGAGGAGGGTAAAAATATAGGGCATGTGGTGGGCAAAGACCATTTCTATTTGACCGAGCTTCTGTCTTACACAAAAGAAACCCCTGAAATGCACTACAACTCAGTTGTGGGTTCTTTGTTCAATACCCTAAAATCAGAAATTCTTTCCAATTGAAAATGACTATCAACTACTAAATTTGATTAAAGACCTGAAGGATGGGGATACTTTTGATGTCTATGTGAATCATGTGATAGATAATTTAGAGGTTGTGGAGGATGTCCCTATGGGATATTTACCTTGCTCACAGGTTGGTGATAGTGACCAAGCTACAACTAATCCAGAAATTAGGGGTGGTCCAGGGGTTAATGTACATGTTGGTGAGGGCATTGGTGTAAATGTTGATGAAGGCATTGGTGTAAATGGTGATGAAAGTATTCAAGTTCAAGTAAATATTGATGAGGATATTAATGTAAATGTTGATGAGGGTATTTGAGTAAATGTTGATGAGGGTATTGGTATAAGTGTGGTTGAGGATATAGAAGTAAATACTGCTGAGGGTAGTGGTGTAAATGCAGAACAAAATAGGGCTACATTTTCAGATGAGGATATAAATATTGAAGAGGGTGCAGCTGCAGAGCATGACAACAGTACTGAAACAGATACAAATCTGTCTGAAGATGAAAATTTTGGTGAAGATGACCTTGAAGATATTCCAGAAGAAGATGACAGTGAGATAGATAATGAGTTAAGATCTGTGAGGAATGATGCCAGGGAAGTAAAGAGAAACAGGTTGAAGAAGAATGTGAATGGTGCTGGATTACAAAGTAAGAGAAAACAGAGGAGAAAACCTGTTTTACAGAAGAGGTAATTCTTGGTGAGGCTGGAATTGATAAGGGGTTTGAAGACATAGGGATAAATAAGAAGGATAAATATGTTGGAAAGCTAGGTAGGGATGAAGAGTATTTGGACAGCTCAAATCCTGGGAGTGTAGACAGTGATGAAGAGTTAGACCCACTTGCTGAACCTGGTGCTGATCTTCCTTGTAGAAGAAGAAGTCAAAAGACCAGATATGACTTTGATACTAAAATTCCTCTATTTGAGTTGGGCATGATCTTTGATAATGCAGAAGATTTTAGGAAAGCTATTGCTGACTATGCTATTCAATATAAAGTGTCATTAAAGCTTAGACCTAATGAGAAAGATAGAGTAAGAGTTAAGTGTAAGCATGAAAAGTGTAAGTGACACATATTTGCTAGTAAGGATAAGGATTCAGGGAACTTTACTGTGAAGACATATATACCTGTCCATAAATCCCCAACAAAGAACAAGAACAAACTTTGTACAACCAAGTACATTGCAAGAAAGCTCCAAGATAGAATCATCTCAACTCCAAACATCACAATGCATGAGTTGCAAGAGTTTATAAGGGTTAAATGGGGTTTGTATGTGGGAAGATCACTTGTCTATAGATCCAAGATGAAGGTAATTAGTCAGTTTATGAGTAACTGGAATCTTGAATTTTCAAGGTTGCTGGACTATGCTGACATGATTAAGTCCACCAATCCTGGAAGTTCACGTTGGGTGAGAACTGATACAGAAACAGTTCGTGGGAAACATCTATTTAAATATCTTTATGTATACTTTGAGGCTATGAAGAAGGGATGAATGACAGGTTGTAGAAGAATCATAGATTTTGATGGTTGTTTCCTAAAGGGCGCTTGCAAAGGTGAATTATTAGTGGTTGTTGGGAAAAATGGAAATAATCAGATGTATTCTATTGCTTGGGCTTTGGTAGATCAGGAGACTACACATTCATGGTGTTGGTTAATCAACTATCTCAAAAAAGACTTAGAATTGAGGAATGGTTAAGATTTAACTGTCACGACCCAACATCCCACCACAGACGTCGTGATGACACTTACTCTCTAAGACTAGGTAAGCCGATTACAATTATATTTCGAGTCATTTTTTTTGAAACATATAATTTAATACAAGTGTTGAAACCAAAAGCGGAAAAAAATATAAAAACCTCCCAAGACTGGTAATACTAAGTCATGAACGCTAAATGAATACAGGCAGTGATCTCAAGGATAGAATATACGATACTGTTCGAATAAGAGTTGACAGTACAATAAAATAGAAAGACTCCAAGGGACTGCGACGACCAAGCAGCTCTACCTTGAATCCTTGCGATCAACACACTAACTCTGCCGAGTCCGATATCTCCAATACCTGGCTTTGCACAAAAATATGTAGAAGTGTAGTATGAGTACACCACAGTCGGTACCCAGTAAGTATCAAGACTAACCTCGGTGGAGTAGTGACGAGGTACAGTCAAGACACTCACTAGTCAAATAACATGTGCAGTATAACATACAAGAATAATAGAAAGACAAATAGCAGTGATAGAAATAATAATCAACTAGTGATTGATCTCGTCCAATTTCACTCATCTCTTTGAGGTTATGAAAACGGTTGATGCAATAGTAATACCCAACAAGAGCCGGGTTCGAATTTCGCAGGGAGCTATATGAATGGGTGTTAGTAGTATATATCTTAGCGCGTGAGTTCGTATATCTAAATTTGTACTTTCGCAGTATTTGGTTTTGTTTAAAAATCTAAACTAAACTACGATTGCGATTCAAAGAATGAAACTAGGAAATTATTTTTGTTGTTTTCCAAATGATATAAAAGACCTAGGGCTATGACCTTCACCTAGGTGTTTGCCTAATGGGTTGTAAACTTTAAAGCTTGTTTTATTGGTCTGGGTGTATTATAGCTATCAACACTCAAGTACCCACTCAATACCTCCCGGTCAGAGAGTGATTTTGCCCAATTTGGCTTTTCACGTCCAAATGGGTATTGAACAAAATAGTTGATAAGAAGCTCAAGTCGGGTTTTAGTATCTCTAGGTTCAACCCTTTAATTGGGCTTATCAATCTCTCGATTGGCCCAATTTCTTGCTAGCCAAGTTTTTCTAGACTATGTCTCTCTTTCTCAAGTAGAGACTAAGTCAAATAGGCATGAATTAATGATTGCAGCCATTAATTTTTCAAATAAAAACAAGAACAAGGCTAGATAATAAACACCCAACCATAAACAAGCAATAAATCAAACACACATTAAGTTTACATACTAGGGTTGAGTCACAATCTTAGTAAAAATTTAGCTATTCATGCTTAAACTGAAATGATAATTAAACCCATATTGATAATTAAAATGAAAAACTACTAGAAAGAGTAAAAGAAACAGTATACTGTAGCAGTTGATGTCAAAAATTGACCTAAAAAAATGAAACTCTACTATTTATACTGTAACGATCCGACCGGTCGTTTTGAGCTCTAGCGCGTTATTCAGCAGTTTGAGACCCTGAGCAGCTTCACTTCACGTATTATGACTTGTGCGTATGGTCGAAATTAAATTTCGGAAAGTTTGGAGTTAGTTTGGGAAGAAAATTCTAATTTCGGAACCTTTAAGTTGGAAGAATTGACTCGAAATCAGGATTGGAAGGTTTCAACATGCTCGTATGATAATTTTGGACTTGGGCCTATGTCCGGATCGGGTTTTGGATGACCCGAGAGCGTTTCGGCGCCTATTATGGAAGTTAGCATTTTTGGAAGAATTTCTTAAATTTGCGTTGAAGTGCATTTCAATGTTATTGATGTCCATTTGGGATTCCGAGTCTGGAAATAGCTCCGTAAGGAGATTCTAGTTTTGGGAGCGCGTCCGGATGTGGATTTGGAGGTGTGTAGGTCATTTTGGGGTCATTTGGTGAAAGAAATTTGAAGGTTTTTGAGAAGTTTGACTGGGAGTGAATTTTTTGATATCGGGGTCGAATTCCGATTCTGAAAGCTTTAGTAGGTCTGTAATGTCAATTATAACTTGTGTGCAAAATTTGAGGTCAATCGGACTTGATTTGATAGGTTTCGGCATCGAAGGTAGAAGTTCTAAAGTTCATTAAGCTTGAATTGGGGTGCGATTCATGATTTCGATGTTGTTTGATGTGATTTGAGTCCTAGAGAAGGTCCGTGTTATGTTATTGGACTAGTTGGTGGGATT